GAGTTCGTACGCACACAACGAGTAGCACAAGTAGGAACAGGTTTCAGCTGACGTGCTGGTCATCATCACCTAACATGCTGATTCACTGTTGATCTTGCATAAGTGATACAAGTGATGCTGTGTCGTTAGCCGACGAAGACCAGCAGCCTACCAGAAACCTGTGTGGTGCGATTTGCGTGTACCACGTGAGCCGAAAGCGACTTAAGGCTTTTTCGGTGAAAAGTGCTGGATGGTGGGCGTTCGTCATTAAACACGACAGAGTCTGTATTCCGGCCATATCGAGCGGTAAATGTTTTGCCGGTGACGGCGAAACATCGTCGTAAACTAGCGGTTGACAGTCGTTGATTGACATGTCCATTCACACGTGTCTGACGACTGGCTTTTTCTCGACGACGTGCTACTCCATCGATTTTTATATTCTACAGTGTTACCGTGGCCAAAACGGCGCCTTCAGTTGGTGGACCACTGAGCGAACGGAAGACAACGACAACGACGACCTGAGCTTTTGTCCGTTGCTGTTACGTTGCCGTTGCACCGGCACCAACGGGGCGTCAGTCAGCAGGTCGGCGAAGATTTACGGACTCAATTAAGCGAATTAAAGTGCCTTGCTTAAATCAGCGAATGACGACAAGTAGACAGCACTCAGTTCGAATGAGTGAAAAAGCTGTAGCGTTCGAGTTCAGACGTGGTGCAAATCTGGAGCTTATGAGAGTCAAAGTTTGGCTGGTTCCCTAGAAGTCGGCTTTCTGACTGTAAACATTCGTAGGAAAACAGCAACAAGAAAAAAAGTCAGTGCACTCCTGTCTTCAGACACTCTGCTGCTGTGGCACAGTGTCTAGGAGGTCGGTTTGGAACTCCGAGGGTGCCAGTATGGGTTCTGGCGGATATGCAGTCTTTGCCTTAAGCACGAATTGCCTCGAGCAAAAAATTTACCACATATCGCTTCAGGCCAGGTTGCTCAGTCGGTAGGGCGTGAGACTCAGAATTGAGAGGTCACGGTTATTCGTCTTTCTTCTTTGCGAGGTTGATAAATGAGTACCAACTGGTGGAAAGGAAATAGAAGACAACTTATTATACTTGCCATCTGGCTGCTGTCGACTCTGTCTTTAACATAATGCATTCCTGGCTGATAGCATGGAAATGAAGATCGCTCTACCGTTTACTTCATAAAAAGAAATGTGCCAGAAATGCCTCCACCGATCCTTCCGTCGGTGTAGACAATACCGACATTCCAAAGGCTAAAATTTTCTGACCTTCTCTTCAAAGGTTGACGTAATGATAATAACGAAGAATTCCACTTAAAGAGCTTCTACCCATTTTTGACGCTAAGGTAGTGAAGGATGTCTCATATCGCGCTTGAAACTAGTCTCGATGCCACGCTCCTTTGATAATCGCTTACTCCTCATTTTCGATCCATGGTTCGAAACACCAAACGACTGCAGAGGTTAAAAACCGTGGATTGAAGAGGAGGAGTGTAAACAGCTGATTTGTTCTTCAGATTTACCGACGTCTTTCACCGATCGTCGTCATAATCAAATGAAAGAGGAAGACTTAATGAAAGATATTCGTGTGCTTTCTTTGGTGATTAGCAAGTAGAGTGAATCTTGAGGCTTCCGCCATGCTGTG